ATTTAAATTAGTTAAAAACCTCTTCACCTGGTACAACTGCTTCTCCTCCCAAAGAAAAAGTCAAGCAAGGTGCACAAAAGGCCTCCTTTGTTCATTTTAAATTCTCTCTCACCAAAAACAGCGGGGCTGGAGGCCAAAACATAAAGTAACAGACTCCACTGTATGACAGCTGCCAGTTCAGTGACTCCCCGGCAGTTTCGCCTCCTTCCCTGCCGCTCCCTGTTACTGTGCTCTTCCTTGTGTAAGCGCTGGGGGGACACGTTTCCGTGACTGAGCACTGCTAATGTGACATCCTATAAAATGAGCTAGCAGTTCAAATTCCATTCTTCAACCAGAATTTAAAGAACCTTTTTCTTTCTTGACACCTCGGCCCCTCCTTGCATGTATGACACGTACATACCAGAGGACAGCAGCAGTTAGTTAGTTCATTTCACAGGCAGGAGCTGTTTCATGGGCCTGGTAATGATGTGCTGTTGCTGTCAGCCAGTTACTCTGATTGGGGAAGGCTGGGGCTTTTTGATGGCAATCCTGCAAGTTTCCCATCCAGCTTTAGTTAAGCACTGTTTGTTTTCAAAGGGTTAGTCTAGGTTGTAGCTTTCCCTTTCCTCTTTTACAAACTGGGACAAGAGCACGCACTTACTTACTGCAGCTCCTGTTTTAGTATGTATGCTTCAGCCACTCAAGTACAAAGGATTCAGGTTCACTGCAGTCTTTTTACCACCAATGCAGAAATAAAGCAATTTATTTTTGATAAAATTGTCATTAGTGCAATACATCTTAAAACAGAAGAACAAAATGAAAGTATTTACACATAATTTAAGCAACAAAACCAACTGTGGTCTGAGGTCATTTTAGTATTTTTTTAAAGTAAAAATAAGGCAAATAAAACTCCCTTCAGTGTTCTTTATCCAAACTAATCAAACTTAAAAATTAACGATTGTCTACACATACTGTTAAAAAGTACATGAGTTTCCAGACAAGCTCAGACATTTCACAGCAGGAAAAAAAAAAAATAAAATTCCAGAGTTACAGAATTGTTGTTTCCTTAAGTAACGTGTAGGTATTTTCAGAAGGCTGACAGACTTCCATTTCTCCTGGCTGAGAGACTCTCAGTGGACTGTATCTCACTTAGACAGGCAGAACTTTCTTCCTCATGATTAAAGCAGTCGTATGTGCTCAGCAAAGTGCCGTTTGCTGCTCGATCATCTTTCCGCAAAGAGAGGGGCAGGTTCGCTAGGGTGAAATTAACATCTTTGAAGGCATGCAATAAAAAGATCCCCACAATAATAGTCAGGAAGCCACTGAAGGTGCCGATGATGTCGTCAGCCGCCATGTGTTGCCATTCCTTGAAAAGGATGGCAGAACAAGTTAAAACAGAGGTGGTAAAGATTACATAATATATTGGAGTCACTATCGAAGTGTTGAATATATCCAGAGCCCTGTTTAAATAGTTGATCTGCGTGCTCACACAGACAATAAGGCTTAGCAGCAGAATCCAAAACAAGGGATGCTTCAGCACTGGTTTTCCTGCAAAAAATTCCTTTATACTGATGCCCAAACCTTTCACGCAGGAGACTGATAGTGCTCCAATTACAGAGCAAATTGTTATGTACACGAGAATGTTGGTCTGTCCATGGCGAGGTCCCACCACAACAATTAGAATTAATGACACGATGACAACAAGAGTTGCGAAGACCACAAAACCTGTGGTTGGGGGGGAAAAAATAAAACAATTCTTGTTATTTATGTACACTACTGAAAGCATCTTAGAGGTACTGAGAAAACACTCGTTAACATTGCGATCGGCTCAGCTTCAACAGAAGACTTCAGGATGTTTCTCATTACTCCTCCAACAACAAAGTTAAAGTTATTTTACAGTAAGCTGGCTAAAACAAAGAATGAAGCTCGGGCACATTGTATTATCGTTAACAAACTATCAGCAAGGTGACTACAGGATTAGGTTGCTGAGTTGCCTTACACACAGAGGCACTGAGGTGCAGACGCCACCGGACCCAGGCTTGTGGCTGAATGCTTTTTAGGGAGGTACGTTTTGGCAGGCTGCTACATTCATCAGCAGATTTCCAATAATCAGGTCATTCCTTAAGATCAGCTTTTTAATCTCCACGCTGGCTCCTTCCTCATGTTTAAAATGGAATTGTTTGCAGATGCGTATTTGTGAGTGCCTCATCTTCCACGTAAGCATAGCAGCTGGTCTCTGGGATTACATTTCTCAGCAGACACTTACCACAGCACCTACTGTTTCATTTTAAGGATAGCTCGACAAGGCTGACACACTTCAATTACAATTTATAGAAGTTGTGTTTATCCAACTGCGCTGCTGCCTTTGTTTAAATTGTCATCTCAGTAGTTCACATAAAAGCCAGACAAGTTCACTGGCATCATGCAAAGCGCCCTGTGGAATTATGTCACAGAATTCAAATTTCCTTTTTGACAACTATCTTCCTGGAACTTTCCTATAATAAAGAAATGATGGGCTGCATACATACCAAGTCAGCATTTTTCTTACCTGGATCGCCTAGTTTGTGGGACATTTCATTCAAAGTTTCTACTTCCTCCTCTTGTGGAGCGTGAATTACCATCACAGTTGATCCCAGTATACTTAGCAAACACCCTATTTTTCCATGTAGATTAAGTTTTTCATTTAAAAAGAAGGATGACAGAATGGCACTAAGAAGAAAAAAAAATGCACCAGCAAACATGGAATTAGTAATACCTCATTCATTTGCTCATCAACTTACAGGTTACTTTGACTGTACAGGTCACTTGCATACACAATGCAATACCTGGCTGATTTTCTATCTGAAGATACTTGCTATGAACAGAACCACCTGTTAATCTCTCCCCAGAACCCCTTTTTATGCTGCCTCCCAAAAAACTCTGTGCCTAAGCACTTGTAAAAATAATTTTTAAAAGACAAAAATCTTAACTCTACTTAAGAATGAATATACTGCTTTTGTTGTATATAACGTGGTTTTGAAATGCAGAAGATGATAGCTTTTCACAGATCGAGGTGTAGACGCATTGCTAGAACCCTTTTATAGCACAGTCACTTCACATCTGGAGAAACTTAGAAGTACTCCTGATGTTTATAAGCACTCTATTTATTGTTAAGAACAGACCACATTCATTACAGCATATTTCAGTGACATATTTCTAAATAAATATTTTGCTTTGCTCTCTGAAATCACACTGCTTTCTGTTAGTGCTTCTTACCTTACAAGAACACTGAGAGCTCCTAAAGGAGTCACTAACGTAGCTGGTGCAAAAGCATAGGCAGCAAAGTTAGCTACTTCGCCAGCTCCCACTGCAGAGTAATAATAAAATTAAAAAAAAAAAGTTAGGCTGTCTTACACAACAAACCTGTGAATCAGTGCAAGTGTTCTTGTAGACACAAACATGCAGTAAGGGAACAATGGAAAATGCTAATTATAGCGTTCAGCTAACAGTACTAGCACAACACCCCCACCCCCCCAATCTAATATTTTAAAAACAGACTGGGGGACTACAACAGGTATTAAAATCAATTCAGCCAAATTAGAAGGCGTTTTATGTTGTAGCTCCTCAGCCTGCCAACTCAAGTCATGAACTTCGGCAGGGAGAAATCTCCAATAGCAGGATACAGGGCAATGCATACATTAAGCCATAGTTACTTGAACACAGCCAGTAAGTGGAGAGTTTAAGCAATGCAAAAAAACCAAAAAAGTTCAGAAAATAGACATCATCCCAAAACATGCTTCCCTCTAAAGAATCCTGTATATCTAAGCACTCCTCTGCTAAGACAAAAACCAGAATGCACATGCTAGCAAAGAGATACAGGAAAACCAATGTCTGCATAGTTCCACCACCCAAAGAGGGCAGTTAATGAAAAAACTTCTGGTGTGAGAGAAGTTACATTAAAATCATTAGAGCTGCACCCATCAAATCACCAGATTGCACTACCATAGATTGTAGAATTCCCATCTTGCTCTGTTTTTGTAAGCATTTCTCCCATCTGTGGCAGAGTTATTTACTTAAATTATATAATGTGGATTATATTTTTGATACTTACTTGAAAGAAGTCCAGCCCACCACAGCCACTCCTTAAGGTACGCATGACCACCTTGACCTAGAATTGGAAGAATGTATATTTTTAATGGAATAGCAAACAACAACAAACTGTCACTGATAACATCACCAAAAGAATTTTTGCAGCCCATATCCTTAAATACATGGGCAATCTTTTGATACTTAAGCTTTATAGTTAAAGGGGTTGACATAAAATCTTCAAATTTCTGATGTGCACATGCCTCCTACAGCCTACTTTGAAAACTAGTTATTTTATTTCTTTTGTATTAGAAATGGCACCAATGACCATTTCTGCATTAGCTTGAAAACCAGTTCTTTCAACTTATTGTAATGATATGAAAAGCCAGGTTTTGTGTCTCATATGAGAATGCTAACATGTGGAAATTGTGTGTGGCTTATGTGGTTGATTACATGTACAAACATGTGACATGCAGTCACACTTTCCCATTCCAAACCAGGGAGCACGAATTACGTATCTCAAGATCAACCATCTTTTAGAAGCAGAGATGACAGGTACTGAATTAAAAATATTCAGATTCAACCCTCTGAATCACCTGAGGATGCTGCAACCATCCTATCTAAACCTACCCTCTTCCCATTTAAAACCACTGTCCCTTGTCCTGTCACTACAGGCCCTGGTAAAAAGTCCCTCTTCATCTTTCTTTTATAAACCTCCTCTAAGTAGCCTCCCCAGAGCCTTCTCCTCGAGGCTGAACAACCCCAACCCTCTCAGCCTGTCCTCACAGCAGAGGTGCTCCAGCCCTGTGGCTCTCCTCTGGACCCACTCCGGCAGGTCCATGTCCTTCCTGTGCTGAGAGCTCCAGAGCTGGACGCAGGGCTCCAGGTGGGGTCTCACCAGAGCGGAGCAGAGGGGCAGAATCACCTCCCTCGACCTGCTGGCCACCCTGCTTTTGGTGCAGCCCAGGATAGCGTTGGCCTTCTGGCTGCGAGCACACATTGCTGGCTCACGTCCAGCTTTTCATCCACTGGTACCCCCAAGGCCTTCTCTGCAGGGCTGCTCTCAAATCCATTCGTCCCCCAGTCTGTATTGATTCTGAGGATTGCCCCGACCCACGTGCAGGTCCTTGCACTTGGCTTTGTTGAACTTGCACAGGCCCACTCCTCAAGCCTGCCAAGGTTTCCCTCTGGATGGCATCCCTTCCCTCCAGTGTGTCCACTGCACCACTCAGCTTGGCATCATCTGTGAACTTGCTGAGGGTGCAATCCATCCCACTGCCTATGTCCTTCCAAGATATTAAATAGTACTGGTTGCAGTAAAGCCTTGAGGGACGCTATTCGTTACACGTGATCATTACACATGATTTTTAGTTTTCTAAAACAATCTCCTGACACTCAAAACGCAGTTAACATTCTCCTAAATGCACTCATTCAGGAACATAATTTAGTTAAGAGTGCTGGTTCCAAGTTCAATTTGCAAGTACAATTCAGATTTAGCTGACACGCGAAGGAAGGAATCATTCAACAAGTGTCCCCAGAGGGCATTACGTGCAAATTAAATAGCATGTATCACACACACAGAGTTAGGTGTGTCTGACACCAGAGAAAAAACACATCAGCTATACATCTTAGATTTCATATACCTGTAACAAACAAAAAAAGTCAAAACAAGATCATAAGTTTAGTAATCTTCTGTTAAACAGCACAACTTAAATGTCAGCACGTTTCTTCAGCACGTATTTACCTGCTCTCATGGAGCCTTTCCTAGCTAAACGGAGAAGTCCTTTCTTTTTCAGGATGAAACTTCCTCCAATGAAAATGCTGGAACTCATAGCCAACACCAGACCAATAATGAAGTCATATCTCCCACGAGTTTCGCTCATCTCGTAAACTACTGAAGACTGTCACGTTGACCTATGAAGAGTAGAACTTGTGTTACTCAACACAAGAAGATGCAACACTGAAACCTGAGCGAAATGAACACATTAGAATTAAACTGGTAGAAATACATATTGTACAGGAAAATCCTCATGTGACCGGTTCTCCCATGAACGGTCTCTGCAAAGGCAGTCTTTGAGGCATGTGCAAGCTTGACCCACAGATGAGTGACTAACAAGTCTGAACACAAGGAAGGGCTTCTGATACGGCATATAAAAACTGAAACCCAAACAAATAGAAGTTCTTTGAAAAAAGTTAAGGGAAACTTAAAGATGTGCGATTTATTTTTCTTTTCATTAAGTACACAGATCTATGTCCAACACACCATGTAACTGACAATGCTGATGAAACAATTACTTACATTGAAATCACTTTGTAAGAGAGTTTGAGAACAGCCACTGCATTTCTTCCATATAAACTCACTAGAAAAACAAAACACAAGATTATAATGGGTGTTTAATCATATAGCAATTTCCCTAACACAAACAAGCTTGAGATGTATACACACGCACTTATCCTCCAACAAACAAGGAAATACGGAACAAGAAATAAGGCATCTGTTTGTCGATCTATTTTACAAAGAGTTTCCCATACCTGCATGAAGCATCTTTGCAGCTTAGCTACAGTTAACTATTAAGAGTTTACAGTTTAAAAGCTTTCCCCTAGCCTGCTTAGATGCTAAATTTAGTTAGGAAAGACCTTCAACAACAGCTTAGCAGAAGACAACAATTTTTAGGCTAGAAATCAAGATTTTACATACTCAGCCTCCAGCTTAACAAGAAAATTTATTTTGGTGCACCTTTTTCTCCTCTTACAAGCTACAATAACGATATCCTGGATTCTATCTAACACACAAGATTCTGAATTTAAGGTATCTCTATAAATAACTTTTAAACTGAAGGCAAAAACCCCTCAAAGTACTTTCCAAGGTGATTAACCTCTCTATAGGTATGAAGGGAAATGAAAATTCTTTTTAGACTTTGATTTCACGTCAACTGATAATTATGACAGTATAGGGAACTGCTCTAAAGGAAGAAAACACCTATGGATGAAACAATTTTCATTTCCTGGCGACACCAATCACAGATGTGTCAAGACTAGCATTTTGTTCCCTAAGCAATTATTTTCCAGATACTCAGAAGCATGGCATACGACGTTAAGTTGCACTAACAAGCTTTTGATTTTGAAGTAAAAGGGGGGAAAGAAGATGATGGAATAAAATGTTTCCATTCAGTGCTTATTGGAATCTTAATTCCACAGTTTTGAAGTTGAGATACAGCAGCAGCTTCCCCGAGCAGGAGTACAATGCTGGTGTCAAGGCATCGCAATATCAAGAGCCCTCTTTCACGCCCAGGCAGAGATGGACGCACCCACTGGGAGGCCAGGACTAGATAAAATCATATTCCGGAACTGAGAACTGGCACGGCAGACTGACTCCTGCACTTGCTTCTTCAAAACCTGTTTTCTTCCAAAGCTACCGTTTCCCCTGTACGTTTTTGCTTCCAACTTGGATTAATTTGATACATCCCTAGGAAAAACCTAGCAGAGAGTTACAGGTAGGTTAACATTAAAAGTGAACACAGATCTTCTTGCTTGCATCCAGTTAGGCTGTGAAAAAGCATAGGAAAAGAGTCCCGTTTAATAAGCACTCAACACCACACTATTCAAAATGCTGCAAGACCCACAGTTCAAAATTCTCAAATCCTCTTCCCTTAATCCTTCCTTAAAGTAATTTTTAATAGCTTTCTTTGTAGGGAACCGTTTAAGTAAATGAACTGCAAGGGTCTGCTTTCATTTTCTAGCAACTTTTAAAAATACACTTAAGTAGATTCTTGCACAATACAAAATCATCTATCAAACAAAACCAAAAAAGACAAATCAGTAGCGTGGGAGATGGACCAGAACAAGCCACCTCACTAACGGCATCAAATATTTCTCTGGCTTTGAATTCAAAGCAAGACTTGCAGTCCCCTGAAGAATAAAGACATTTTTTAACCCAAGGAAGAGACATCAAAAGGCTTCTGCGGCTGTTCTCTTTACCATGTTTTCTAGCAGTCATAAGTCACACTGCTCAGGTAATCAAGCTAAGAGTGTTCTTCTAGCTCCAGCTGGTATAAAATGTGACACTGGTATAGCATCACCTGGAGGAAAGGGGGCTGCTTTTGCTGAGGTTTTCTACTCTACCAGTGTTTTCAACAGTTGCTACTCTAGTTATATTACCAATGGGAGTTTTTTTTACTACTGTAGCTTTTTTTACTAAGCCAGAACTCACCATACTGGCAAACCCACTTTTTTCCCCCTCCTCTTCCTGGCTTGCATAGCTTCATCTACACAAAAACATTTCTGACAGAGGTAAAGAGCATCAGTTAGTCCCATCCTGACATCTTCCACCCACTGCATTTCAGAGACAGAGGAACAAGCACAGGCTGCTTTTCCTCAGAGCAGAGGAAAAATCTGATTGCAGAAGAATGAGGAAAACCTGAGAGCTAACAGGTAATTTTCTGAATTTAGACTTAAAAAACACCCTAAGGACACACTTCAAAACCAGTAGTTCTACTCTCCCCCATGTTCCAAATACATTAAGGAGTTTTTAATTCTTGTCAACCACTTTGTTAATCTTGTAAACAACTCAAACCTAACGACTTCTTCACATAAATTACGGGTAGCTCTTCTTGCTAAGCTTATTTGTCCTCACAGACATGGCCAGTCCCATTTCTGCTTGGGCTGAACTGCCGTAATTCCATCTAAGGTTTATACAGACATTTACATTTGCTGACCATTTTTGCTGCACAGTCATGATGAACCCAACTTCTCTCTGAAGAGACTTGGTCACTCCACACACAGCGCAGATGTAATTTGTGTGTGAGAACTGACACGTATAGCTGCAAAGTCAAAGCAGTAGCAGGCACGGAGAGTTTTGCACTTCAGGAAATCAGTAGTTTAATTCTAACCCAAAGACTTAGTAAAAGAGGAACTAATGTGTCATAAATATCATCAAGAAAAATTATCATCTTTGGAAACAAGAAAAAAAACCCACCAGGAAATGAGCAATTTCTGGAATAAATACTCCTCTCACGTTTCAGCTCGGGGACATGCCAAAGCTGTCCTGTTCCAGCAGCCGGGGCCACTACTATGTTATAAACATGAGAGAAGCCAGAAAATGTAGGAGTTAAACAAAGCTGGCAGTGGTTTTAGTTGCATTTAGTGTAGTTCTGCAAAGGTTCTTTAATCTAGTTCACAGCTGGTTTTAACACAGAATTGCATCCATCTGAGACTAGCAGGTTCATGGAAGAATACTGGTTTGCTGCTCTGATTTCAGAGATGTAATGAGGGGGGTGAGACTTTCCTATCCACAGAAGCTACAACATTTAAATGCCTCCAAGAACCACCCATTTATGAACTGCCTGTGGATCATCTAGTATCATGAGTCATAACTGTCAGCATGCAACAGTACAGTGACAGACAACACAGCGAACGTATACTGAGTTTGAAGGCTATCAGACAGGGAAAGATGGAGAAAAAGCTTTTTGAAACAAACTGTGGGACACAAGCAAGTCCAGATTAGCCACAAAGTTTGTTTGCTTATTTTTAAGATGTAACTGAGAAGTATCACAAATGCTGACAAAATACAAACTCTCTGGTTTAAAAAACAAGGTAATACTTCTTGTCTCTTTGCTCAAAAGCCCTTTTCTCCCACAGGCAGCACATATACAGTGCTCAAAAGATGTTATACTTTTATTGTAACAAGTAAGCTTTCCAAATATTCAGAAACACGACAAGTGGTGTCATGAGATAATATTTTATGCTTAGAAGCAGATAAGCATAAGGAAGTACGAGGGAGTTATCAGCCAAAGAAAATTAGTATTGCTTCTGCAAGCTGCACGTTGTATGGAAGCAATAATTGTAGTTGGTAGAAGTCAACATGGTGGATTGTTCCAACTTTGCCTACTTGGCCACCAGCCCTCAAGAGTTCAGTAGACAGTCTTTTCTCCTACAAGTATTCTAAATATATGCTAAAATATTTAAATGCTAGAATTCACAATTTTCTTGTCTAAAACCCGATGATCTTAACTGTGAACAGGATGATGTCACTGAGCTAAAAGGGACCTTAACAGGCCATTTACTTCAACCCTTTGCCATGTACATTATCATTCACTGCTCCTCACTACAGATAATTCAGACAACCTTCTCCCAGGAAATATTTAGGAAGGAAACTTCACAAACACTGCAGCTGTTAGGGACTCACATTATCTAATGATCTTCATCTAGATCTTTGCTTTGACCACCAAAGCCTGCTATGTTCATCCACTCTGGACTTGGAAAAGATAAAACTCCCTTTACCTCTGCACCAGCGTCTTAACATTACAGTGCAAGTTCGACGCTTGGTGCTTCCTGCTGTGCCACCCTCTGGGTCCCTTCCCAATAGCCCACTTTTTTTTTTTTTTTTTAAATGAAGTGCAACTCCCCAAACCACATACAGTATTTTAGCTGAGTTATTATTACTTCCGCAATACAGTGAAGACCATACTTCTTCTCATACAACCCAAAATGGGTGGCTTTCTCAGCCCTTCCTGAACGTCATCTACTGTTGACTCATCTTCAACTTCCCTATCAGTAACCTGAATTCTCTTCTCCAAACCATCCTCTAGATTCTTTTCTACGGAACTACTGCTCTGTAAACTTTACTTGTATAGCAAATTATTCCCAGCATCTCTTTGTTTCAGAAATACTTCCTGAAAATATTAACCTGAGTTTACACACTGGCAACCTTTCCCCGCTCGATACCGTACATTATTTCTTTGTCCTTGCAGCCAGATCACTTAATATTAAACAGCACAAGATTCAGACGTGACTCACACGGAAGGATTTTTAAACAAAGGTCTGTTTTGACAAGACATTAGTAATAGTTTCTCCAGGTACAGACATTCAGCATCTTTTGAACTGTTCTGTGTTTTCAATTCTGGTTACTTACAAGAACTCCATGAGAAGTTTTATGTTTCTAACATAGAACACCTATTTAATGTCTGCCTAGCCATTAAGGTTTTAATGGAAGAAAAAGGGGTTGAATCAACAAGTTGCTTTCAGCAAACACACATTGACTATTACGTGTCACATTGACTACTATGTGTTCCCTTCCTTTCCACAGGCATAAAGCCACAGGAAACAAAAACACTCCCTAACAACAAAAATCCAAATGTTCAGTGATGAGCATTTTGAAGGCTCATTATACAAACCAATTTTGTTCCAAAATCCACAGGCATTCACTTCTTAAATATTTTAGCGTTAGGTTTCCAAAATACAAGTTAAAAATAACATTAATTGGCATTTTAGAATTCAGAAAAAAAAAGTTTGTCATTTCAAGTTAATTTCATTTTCATGCATGACATGCAACACTCTACAAAGTCTCATCTATGCTTTAAAA